CTCTGGTATAGTTTCGATACCTATTAGATCATTTTCTCTTATTTAGGAATGTTTTATGTAACAATTTTCCAAAATAGTTTTTAATAAATTATCTGTCTGACAGGTTTTTCTCACCAAGATAATTAATTTTATATTTTTCCCCATCATTAAATATTTTAAATATGCAAGTCTGCCCGCATTTAATACTGTCTATCACGGCAGTGCCAAAAACCCTGCAGAATTTTGTTTTCAGAGACTTTGTTCACAGACTTTCCTAACAAGGTGTAATTTGCATAAAATAAGCTTAAATTGATTACGTATTTCTGATAAGACTTTCTATTTCACAAGATTGGGTTTGGGAGAAGACACCTGAGTGTCACCGCTGGCTGGTGTTCCTCCCTCTGGTAAAATGGCTGTCCTCCAGCTTGAGCCCAGAACAATGTATTGAAGTCATGAAATAATTTGTCAATGTTCCTTTTAACACTGTAGTTATGCATTCCATGATTATTAAACTTGTACATACCTGATTAGCAAACGCCAACCAAAAAAAAAGATAAGCAAACAAAATAAAGAGAAAAAAGAAAGAAAAACAAAAGAAAAGGCTTTTATAATTAATTCTCCAAATCCTAGGCTTCACGGTAGTGACACTAGAGGTGTACAGGATATGATCTTGAGAAATGTCAGTTTGGCTGTTTGGGGGTAAATTATAATGGAAGTTATTTATTCAGCAACCAAGGGTCAGTTCCAAGTTCTAAAGTTCACAAAAGGTTAAATAAATGTATTTCCTCTGTCTGCTCAGAAAATCACACACATTCCTTTCCTTCAATAATATTTAAATGTTTATTCTATGTCTACTAATAACAGAACTAGACGCATGACCAGAGAGGCAGAAGAGAAAGAAAATAAAATCTGTTTCTGCTGAGAATCTATTGTATACCAAGGGAGACACACGTTAACTATGTAATCAGAGGGCCAATGTAAAATTACAAATTGAGACACAATGTATAAAAAAGAAGTTGCACACTCACCTAAGACGGTTTGGTAGTTCACAATGATAAGGTGATTTACGGTAGATAAAAGTGGGCTCCAATAATTAAGGCTGGAAAGGTTTGCAGTTTCCTGTTCTTTGCTTCTTACCACCAGATGTCAGTTACAGTGACATTAAGTCTCAGATGGAATTCTGTCACACAAATGGTTACCAGCAGACTGGCATTCAAAAAGAAAAAAAAGAAAAGAGCATCCATATAACCTGATGTGTAAACTTGGTGAAGCCCCAGACTTCAGCTCTTAAATGCAGACAATGCTCCTCAAATGCCATAGGAATCATTGGGGATCTTGTCAAAATGTGGTCTGTCTGGGATGGGGCCTGAGAGTTGAAATTTCTGGCCACCTCCCAGGTATTGCTGATGCTGCCGTCTCCACACAGCATTTTGAGAAGCAAGGCTTTTTAATTTTTATTTATTTATTTTATTTTATTTTTTAATTTGAGAGAGGGTCTTTCTTTATCCCCCAGGCTAGAGTGCAAGGGCAAGGTCTCTGCTCACTGCAACCTCCACCTCCCGGGTTCAAGTGATTCTCCTGCCTCAGCCTCCTAAGGAGCTGGGATTACAGGGGTGTGCCACCACACCCAGTTAAAGTTTGTATATTTAGTAGAAATTGAGTTTCACCATGTTGGCCAGGCTGGTCTTGAACTCCTGACCTCAGGTGATCCACCCACCTTGGCCTCTCAAAGTGCTGGGATTACAGGCATGAGCCACTTGGCCTGGCAGCAAGGCTTTTAAATGCTCCGACAAAGCACATGACACAAAAGATTCACTTGAAATTCATGTGACAATATTCTGACACCAGGATTGAGGTATCAGCATCCCCTATAAGCTTCTGTTCTCAGAACCAGATGGACTCCTAAGCCTAAGGCAGCCTTCTGAAGAGCTTATGCTGCTGACCTTGCCCAATTCTTTACTTTGTTTCTGTGAAGAAAAGAGAACATATACAAGATTTCTCACCAGTCCACTCTGTTTAAGAATGCCACTCATTAAGTTAATGAAACATTATTTTAAAACTATATAAAATATGATTAATATTTCAACAATATTTTTAAAATGCTGATTATCAAGCCATCTGGTGGAATAGAGAAAGAGATCATTGAAGCCTTTGTGTAGCCACCTTGAGTGTAGGTTTTCTGTTAGTTTTTAAATGTTAACTAATCATATCCTGAATGTGTATTTTAGATGAAGGTCCTTCTACTATGAATTAAACATCTCCAAGGTGGAGATCAAGACAAACACACACACTATGTATGTTGAAGTGTTTACAAGTAATTTATAGACAACATAAATTGTCTATAACCTGGGTTCTGAGTATGCCTATATTAAAGAATCATGGCCCAGACTGGGGGGCGCTTCCCTGGGGAAGAGCTGAAATCTGCAGGATAAGGATTGTGCCTTGGAGGTGAGAGCATGCCAATGAAATGGAACAGCACATGAAAAGCAGGTGCTCCCATAGTGGCAGAGCCACTGCCTTACGGCATACCACCATCACATAATTATGTAGGTCACAGCAGGTCTCCCAAGGCAGACAAAATACACAGCCCTCCGTTCTTCTTTCCCTTGGGGCATAGGGTCTCAGTCCTAGAATAGGCTTGGCAGCTGTGGAGTCACAGTTCCCTCTGTAATTAAGCTGCAAAACTGACCTTCCTAATCGTTTAGTTTTGTCCTCTGCCTGATGGTGCCCCAGTTCACACCTGGACAGACAGACAGTCATTATCCCTGTGGCCATTAAGGAATTGCCTGCCGCTTCTGGTAGAGAAATTCATTGAGTCAGCTAAGAGTGTCCTCTGTTAGCAATACAAAACTTAGCATTTGGTTCAAGAGATGATTTTGTAGCTCATTTAAATTCACATGATTCAAGACAAAACCTGTTGATGGATGACAGTTATTTTGGTGTATCCATAAAAACAGTATCGTTAAGTGACAACGGTATGAACACAGTTTCAAATGAATGAATGTTTTTAATTTGGAGGAATTAATAGTATGTCGAATTTGTCCGTAAAGTGAGACACTATTAGTATTTTTATGTCATACTTTTTCTAATTTAACTCGAATTAGTTCAAAATGTGATCACACATAATACATAAATGTCTGTTCTTTATGTATGATGTTTCTTAGAACTCATTGCCAATATGGTATGCTCTTTGAATTTTTTTTTCTTGGGTGCATATTTTGCTGAACCATGCCCATAGTTGACCAGTTTTATCTCCTGACAGTCCCCTCTTTCCATCTCATCCTATTAAAGATGAGTGCTTGACACATTAGGAAAAGGAGGGGGCAGGCAAATGGAAATAGATCAGCTTCTGCGGTAGTGTTAAAGGCTTAGTTTGTAAAACTAACAAGCCTGTTTAAGGATGCAAGTGCATCACCTTCAGAATGATATTTAACCTCAAGAAGCAAAAGCCAAAAAATATATATGTTATATATATACATACATACACATAATATTCATCTCCACCTTAATGAAGATAGATATCCAGGCTAAGGTTATTGGAGATAAGGTTAGGAAGAGCTCTTACATACATGCACCTTATCTCCACAAGTCAGGTCTAGATTGCACTGTGGCTTACAGCATACCTTATGGTAATTTTAGTTTTTTAGAAAGGCACTCACCCTTGACTGTGTGAGGATTTATTGGCTTAGGCGATAAACTCTTTAATAATAAAGAAAAAGCTTGATTGGTTTAACTGCTAACTCTACTGTTGGCTTTGGGGTCCATTTAACCCAAGTTGTGTTTGGAGGAGTGAAATGCCTATATGTGTGTTTCATCATCTGCCCCGTCACCTCTAGAGGCTACTCTCTTATCTCCGTACTGTCAACTAGGCTTGTTCAGAACTGGTACAGACTAGAAATAGAAATGGCTTCAAAAATGTTTAGATAAACTCATGGATGGGTCGTGTCATTAGTTATGAAGGGAGGCTGGCATGGTTTGTGTTACCTTGCCTGTCTTTTTGTGGTTGAGATCAGAGGCAAGAAATAGATTCTCCTGCCAAATTACTATCACAGACAAAAAGGGGGACTGCAAGGACTAACCTGATGAATGAACATTTTTTATGACCTTTTAAATCACCTTCTATTTTTAAGAAAGGGAGCAAACCCATAATATCTTGAGGAGATTTGCTTAAGCAGTTTAAACTAAGTCAGATAGAAGGGATGGTCCATCATTACTGAGCCAGGAAAGATAAGGTCTTAAAAGGCAGGGCTACGAAAACTGCAAGTTGTGACTACGGCGTTAGTAAAACATGTAATTGTGCAATATTGAAGAGATTTGCTGGGTATGTAACTATGTTTATAGTCACAAACCTAAAAAGTAATTGTGAGGTTGTCTGATGAGTGGATGCTAGTTCATTATTCCATTCTACTTTTACATACGTTTGACATTTTCCATAGTGAAAATGTTAAGGTGATTGTTAGTAATGGCGTTATGGAATAAGAGGGACTATAAAAAGTCTATGTTGGCCATACCCAGTAGTAGCTGGACGGTTATCATTTACTCATATTTAGTGCTTGGCCAGTCAATGGGCCAAGAGTCAACATAAATTTGAAAAGTTGGCATCACAGTTTCCAGGGCTATTATGGGTAGGCCAAGCAGGATTGGCATAGAGCAGTTTGCTCAGGCTACCCAGAATGGGTTACTGCCAAGAACAGGGAAAAGTTGAGAGGCAAGAGAAGTCTTCTGGCCACCTAGTGTGGGCACAGCCAAGTCCCTGGTAGGACTCTGGTTAGAAATTGGGAGCCTGGTTGATATCAAAGGAAAAACAAGAGAGAAAAGACTAAGAGTAACGAGAGAAGGAAGGGATTAGATCAAAATGAGTGGAGGTGAGGAGGCCAATGGCCAGTTCTCTCTTCCATGCTGGAGCTAGTACATTGTTTTGAATTGCTATGGTTTGGCTGTGTGCTGCTTTCAAATCCCATGTTGAAATGTGATTCCCAATGTTGGAGGCGGGGCCTGGTGGGAGGTGATTGGATCAAGAGACAGGTCCGTCATGAATGATTGAACACCATCTCTTCAGTAATAAGTGAGTTCTGGCTCAGTTAGAGTTGAAAACGCTTGTTTAAGAGAGTTTAGGTCTTCTCCTTCTCTCTCCTGCTCCCTCTCTTGCTCCCCCTTCAACTCCCACTATGATTGGAAGCTTCCTGAGGGCTCACCAGAAGCAGATACAGGCACTATGCTTCTTGTAGAGCCTGCAAAACCACGAGCTAAAGTAACCCTTTTCCTTTATTAATTACCCAGCCTTAGGCACTCCTTTGTAGCAATGCACAAGTAGACTGCATGGAATTTCCTCATCATACGAGAACCACTAAGAGCCAGCATGGAATCAAGAGCTACCTGACCAACCACACCAAGTCTAAAAGAGACTTCTTTCCCTCCCTTTTGGATTACAGATTTGGCGTAGACTTTAACTCTCTCAAATTCCCCCATTTGGAACATCACTAGAGATTTCAAAGAGATGATGGAGTAAGGGCAAAGTACATTGTTTTGAATGAATTCTAGTTATTCTCAAGGCTCACCGTGAACTCAAGATGCTAGCTAAGAGGAAGAGTTTCCACCTTTCTTATCAGTCTCCCTTCAGTTCTAATATTAGCCTCTATGGTGTAAGAAAGAAAGATTTATTCCAGATTTTGTCTTGCCATAATGACAAGTGCTAAAAATGCCTGCTCCTGATCAATGCTGGAGGCTATTTAGAATTTGACCATTTTATTACGTGTATGTCTCTCATTCATGTGTCCATTTGTCTACATTCACTGAGTGTTTCTTGGGCCTATACAGAGTAATAGGCCCTAGGAACAAAATTCTAAATAAAATATAATTCTTGCCTCCAGGTGCTTAGAGGTTTGTTCTAATGATGTTTGGGGGAAGTTTCATCATGATGGATACCTCTTTGCTAAAAGAGTGCCCCTGTGGTACACATGGCAGGGCTCCTCAGTGCCCATCCTTTGCTTTTTTCATAACCTTCATAAGGTAACAACACAAGAGCAGGCAGTCAGAAACACCCCAAAATGCAGAACATTATGCTTTACCTGACTACCCCTATCGATTTTCTATTTGTGTGTGTGTGTGTGTGTTTGTGGCTCAGGTAACTGAGTAAATTTTCAAAACTTAATCCAGCTGAGAGTAGAGATAATACAAACTCATCTGCATGGGATAGCACAATGACTTGCAGCAAGGAAAGAGAGAAATACAGCACAGACCTCTCTAGATCATCTGGATCTTCCTGTAACCAGATGTTTTCTGGTTCCAGAAACCTCACAATGTGGCTATATGAAATTTCTGCATTTTATTGGCTAACATGTCTCTGAGTCATTCTTATACAACCCTTTCTAGAGTGAGTTATATCTTTCATAACAAAAAAAAAGCATGCCTGAGAAGCTGCAAGTTGAGACCGAGACAATTTTATCTGAAGTACTGAATGTAAGATAAATTCTCAGTAGTATTTATCCAGAACTGTCATTCTCCGTTCACTGCCAATCTTTTCCAGGTATAGCAGCAGCACCATTTGCCTAGGCTTCCGCAAATAGAGACACTATACTGTCACATTGTTAGATGTTAGATTTAGAAGGCTGAAGCCATTCATTGGGACAATTTCCTCTTTATGACAATTGTATTGGCTTCTCTTTCAAACAAGAACCAGAAATGGAAATGTTATCTACCCTAATTTGACAAAACCACTCAAACATTTCACTTTCTAGGTCAGTGAGTTTTTTGTGCTTTTCAATTTTTCTCTTTTTAGTAACCTCATTACCCTCATCAGTTTAGCTCTTAGTGAATTTCTGGATTGGAGAGAATGTGTATTCAATTGGTACTGGAAATAACAAACACCTTTGTATCTTTTGGATCTTTCCTTTTAAGAAATAGTAAAGGCAAGGTGTTTTCATTTTGCAATCACAGCAATTTATCACAGTCAGTGACCCTGGATTTCTTTTTGCTTTTGATAATCATCTCTTTGTATTCATTTGGAGCCCTGGACTGTAGTAATAATAACAATAATTATAACCATTTACTGATTTCCTACTATAAGTTGGCAGCATGTGAGGCATGTTACATACATTTCTTCTCTTTTTTTTTTTTTTTTTTTGAGACGGAGTTTCGCTCTTGTTACCCAGGCTGGAGTGCAATGGCACGATCTCGGCTCACCGCAACCTCCGCCTCCTGGGTTCAGGCAATTCTCCTGCCTCAGCCTCCCTAGTAGCTGGGATTACAGGCATGCATCACCATGCCCAGCTAATTTTTTGTATTTTTTAGTAGAGATGGGTTTCACCATGTTGACCAGGATGGTCTCGATCTCTCGACCTCGTGATCCACCCGCCTCGGCCTCCCAAAGTGCTGGGATTACAACATTTCTTCTCTTGATCCTTGCAGCCAGCCTGGCAAGGAGAATATTATTACTATGACTTTACATACAAGGAAACTGAGGCACAGAGTGAAGAAAACTGTTCAAGGTCATTTAGCTTCATATTACCTTACATGGCTAAGGTTCATGGTAATCAAAATCACTTAGGGTCTGTCTCTTTAAATGTCCTCTTTGCTCAATGTATGCCCACCATCTATAGGCATACCTAGTTTCATTGTATTTCACTTTATCGTGTTTCTTAGACACTGAAACTGCAAGTCTAGCAATTTCTTGAGCAAGAGTATCAGTGCCATTTTGTAACAGCCAGTGCTCACTTTGTGTCTCTGTCTCACATTTTGGTAATTCCCGTAATATTTTATACTTTTTCATTATTATTATATTTGTTATACTGGTCTATGTATTAGTCTGTTTTCACACTGCTGATAAAGACATACTCAAGACTGGGTAATTTATAAAGAGAAAGATGCTTAATGGACTCTCAGTTTCACGTGGCTGGGGAGGCCTCAGAATCATGGTAGAAGGCAAAAGTCACATCTTACATGGTGGTAGATGAGAGAATGCAAGCCAAGTGAAAGGGGAAACCCCTTATAAAGCCATCAGATCTCCTGAGTCTTACTCACTATGATGAGAATGTTATGGGGGAGACCATCCCCGTGATTCAATTATCTCCCACCAAGTCCTTCCCACAACACATGGGAATTATGGAAACTACAATTCAAGATGATATTTGGGTGGGGACACCCAAGGCATATTTATTTGTGATCAGTGATCTTTGATGTTCCTATTGCAATTGTTTTGGGGTACAATGAACCATGCCCATGGAAGATGGTGAACTGAATGGATGAATGTGTGTGTGTTCTGACTGCTCCACCCATCTGCTCTTCCTCCATCTCTCTCAGATTCCTCAGGCCTTTCTATACCCTGAGACACAACTATATTGAAGTTAGGTTAGCTAATAACCCTACAATGTCCTTTAAGTGTTCAAGCAAAAGGAAGAGTAACACGTCTCTCACATTAAATCAGAAGCTAAAAATGATTAAGCTTAGTGAGGAAGGCATGTTAAAATGTGAGACAGGCCAAAAGGTAGACCCTTTATACCAAACAGTTAGCTAAGCTGTGGATGCAAAGAAAAAGCACTCGAAGGAAATTAAATGAATGATAAGAATGAAAACAGATGAATGGTAAGAATGTGCGGAAACAGCCTTATTGCTGATACGGGCAAAGTTTTAGTGGCCTGGTTAGAAGTTCAAACCAGGCATAACATTTCCTTAAGGCAAAGCCTAATCCAGAGCAAGTCCTTAACTCTCTTCAAACCTATAAAAACTAAGAGAGGTGAGGAAGCCACAGAAAAATGTTGGAAGGTCGCAGAAGTTGGCTGTGAGGTTTAAGGATGCCATCTCCGTAACGTAAAGGTGCAAGGTGGAGCTGCAAGTGCAGATGTAGAAGCTGCAGCAAGTCATCCAGAAGACCCAACAGTGAAGGTGGTTATGCTGAGCAATAGGTAGATTTTCAGTGGAGACCAAACAGCTTTAGATCAGAAGAAGATGTCATCTAGACCTGTCATAACTAGAGAGAAGTCAGTGCCTGGCTTTGAAGTTCAAAGGACATGCTGACTTTCTTGACCCATGGGCTGTGGAATGGATGCGATATTAGTAGGTGTGAAAACAACATTAATCTCATTGTTCATCTCCATCAGCGCTCTTAGGTGACTAGGTACATTGTCCATGAGCATTGAGGGGCTAATGCAGCTGGTGACATTAAGTCAGGGCCAGTGCTTATTTAGTGTTCTGAAAATTCTAGGCTCTTAAAAATTACACTTATTGTATTCTGTCTATGCTCTATAAATGGAACAACAAAGCCTAGATAACAGCACATCTATTTAAAGTATGGTTTCCTGAATGTTTTAAGCCAATTTTTGAGACCTTCTTCTAAGAAAAAAAGACTCCTTCAAAATATTACTGCTCATGGACAAGGTACCTAGTTACAGAAGAGCTTTGATGGAGATGTACAAGGAGATTAATGTTTTCAAGCCTGCTAACGTAACATCCATTCCACAGCCCATGGGTCAGGAGTCGTTTTGAGTTTAACATCTTATTTAAAAAATATGCCATGTGGGGCTATAGCTCCCACAGTTGGTGATTTTGCTGATGAATCTGGACAAAGCAAATTGAAAACCTCCTAGAAAGGATTCATCATTCTGGATGCTATTAAGAACATTCATGATTCATGGGAGGAGATCAACAATAACACAAGTTTTGGAAAAGTTGATTCTTCTTTTTTTTCTTTTTTATTTTTTGAAAGAGAGTCTTCTCCTGCCGTGCAAGCTGGAGTGCAGTGGCACAATCTCCACTCACTGTGGTCTAGATCTCCCAGGCTCAAGTGATGCAACCACCTCAGTCCCCCAAGTAGCTGGGCCTATAGATGGGTGCCACCATGCCTGGCTAATTTTTGTATTTTTTTGTAAAGACAGGGTTTTACCATTTTGCCCAGTCTGGCTGTCACAACCTGAGCTCACGTGACCCACTCTCCTCAGCCTCCCAAAGTGCTGGGATTACAGGTGTAAGCCACCATGCCTGGCTGGAAAAAAAGTTCATTCTAGCTCTCATGGATGACTTTGAGGAGTTCAAGAC